CCAAATGTAAAACAAACCCAAGAAATTATCAGCTTAAATGGGAGTCGAAGAGTGGCCGCCTGGTCTGAACTCAGGGCTGGAAGCCAAAAGTTGCTGAGCTCCATCCACCAATTCCTGTAGTCTTGGTCAAGTCATGGGAGCTCTCTGCCACGGTCTCGCTATCTTTACCCACCTCCAGGTGTGTGAGAAGACTTACTCGTATCAGGGACTATCCTCAAGTCTCTCATCAGCGCTATCACCGGTGTCCCTGCTGCTCAGACAGATTTCTGGAGACATAAATCGGCTTTTCTGTGGCCACGTCACCTCCCTTGGCTGGATCCTGAACATGTAGGGCCAGGTATTTGCTGACTCTTCCCTTTTACGCAACCTGGGCAAGAAATAGCCAAGGGAAATACAGAATTGAAGTGTACAAAGTACCATAATTAGCAGCCAAACAGCTGCTTTATCTGGAGAGAGGGAGAGCGCTCTAACCGGGTAAATGTGTTTACTCATTGGTAGGATTTCTCAGTGCAACACAGGAATGGAAAATGCCTGGTACAAATGCATCCAACGCCAGCACATGATCTGCCAGGCAGTGCATGCCATCCAAGGAGGCCATGCAGCAAACCGGCCTAACTGCCAGGGTTGCAACTGGTGGCACGGAGCAGGTGCTGTCCCCAGAGCAGACGTCCCTCATGCTAGCTCAGGTGTTTGAGATCTATTCCAACAAAGAGAGAGAGAGAGAGAGAGAGAGAGAGAGAGATTTACACTATAAAAATTACTGAGCAACAGGATTTCCTGCATCAGCAACTAATACCCATCATTCCTTTGTGCCCTACTGCTCAGAGAGATTGTACAGAACCTCCCAACTCCTCAGTGGGCTACACGTTTCTGAGTGTGAGGCAAGAGGCACCCCTAACCAGCATAACAGTTGCTGGAGCAGTCAGAGACCCTCACAATTGTCACATCTCAAAGTCCTCATGCCACCTTCCCAGACCCACAGGTCATACCAGAAGCCTCATCAGGGCATGCAGTTCTCTCTGCTGTGGAACAGGCCATCTCCTGCTCTGCACATCTGGACCAGCTGCTGTCTTAACACACTCCCTTTTCAGCTAGTCTACGCCTGTGCAGCTTTGCATGCCCCCCCTACCCCCCGCCCCACAGCAGTACACCTGGCCCCACAGAGGAAGTCTGTGGATACTAAGGGGGCAACCTTTTGGCCTGTGGGTCTGTGCATCCAGACCTGAAGTGTGGGACACCCAATTAGCCAGGACAGCGAGTATCTCCCCACATCTAGACCCCCTCCCCTCACCATGCACAGTTGGAGCCTCTCCCTAGGCCTGCCCTTTCTGGTGTCTTTGGCAGCCATGTTGATGGGAATTTTTCATTCAAATGACCTTTTAAAAAAAAAAAAATCTTTCCTGAGTCACATGCCTCCTTGCTAATACTTGCAGTGACTCAAGCATTAGGGAAAGGATTAGAGCAATTTTAACCTGTCTTGTGATGTCCTTGGAAACTGCTCATGGAGTGTCTAGGGAGCAGTTATCAATGGGGGAGATGGCAGCCCACACCAACGGAACAGGAAACACTGATGTCTATGGTGAGCGTGTCCCACCATGTGTTTGTCGCACGTGCTCCCCGGCACTTGCTGCTGCTGCTGGCACTTTGGCACAAGCTATGGGCTACGAAAATCCTGCTGTCTCATGCGCTGATCACCCCCCCCCCCCCAGCTGCTGCCAAAAAACGAGATATGCAGCACTGACAGGAATATCACTGGAGTGTCTGCACAAGAGGCCCTGTGACTTCAGCCTGTCTGCTGGGATTAAGGTGACGGACATTCCCTTATATAACCAAGGGGAGAGAAAAAAGGAACAAAAAAGCCGTGGCCAATTTGTCAGCTCAGGGTGCTGCATCCGCTGGAACCATTGCATGGGGGTCCTGTGCTGACAGCCTGGAGGATGTAGTGCTCTGTATTCACAGAAGAGGTACAACAGGGTAGCTCCACCCACACTGCCCCAGCCCTCATGCAGAGGGGCTCTGAGTGGAAGTGGGTACCCACTTTCCATGACCTGTACCAGCCTTAGCCTCTCTTCTGGGACTCCCAACAATGGGGTCAGTTAGTGACAATTTCTGGACTGTGGTATTATTTGAAACCGCATTCTGTGCTCCCACCTATAGATAGCGCTTAACAATAGGAAGCTCTGAGGAGGCAGTTATGTAACTGGAACTCTTCAAACATAAGAGGCTGCTAGATGAATTTCTGAACAAGATGGTAGGGGTGAAAATACAGGCGTTCTTGTGCTAGGCTAGATAATACTGTCATTCAGATCTCTTCCACCTTTTGTCTAGATTACATCTTTTAACCCTTGAGCAACATGATTTAGGATTAAAAGTGAGTGTAATTCAGTCTTCCCCTTCCAGCCATCCCAAGGGGAGATCCCCAGCTCAATATATGGTCTATATATTTTTAAATAAAACCTGTAGAATACATTTTCCCCTCAGGACATTCTGGTTTTGCCTTTTAAAATGACACAGGTGTTAGTTATTCCATTCTCCTTCCCCACACCCACTCACAATTCCTTCATGTCCAGGAAGTTCCTTTGATCTGCATTTCCCCATCCAATTATGTTTTGTCTGCATTGCAATCCTGGTATGTTATCTATACAACCATAAGACCGGCGACACTGATAAAAGTGATGGATTAATAGCACTGATTACCACCTAATTGGCAGGTGCTACGTGAGATCCTTTCTACTTCCCCACCACTAAAGTACTCCAGTTCTGACCAGCACCTTTTCTGTTATATTAGGTCCAAAGCCTCCCTTCATCAGAGACTATTGACCATGTGGTGGTCAAATGAGACCATTGCAATCCAATTAAAGCTGAACCCAAATTGCCAACTAGTGCACTACCATTTTTGTCTCCAGCCAGTACCTGGGATCCTCAATTGGCTTGAAGTGAAGCACAGAAGAGAATGGCTCATTCTGGAGTCACTAAATGCTCGATTTTTATTAGACCAAACTCCTTTGAGACGGAACCTATTACATTTGTTCACAGTAAGGTCCATGTGTAATAAAGCAGACTGAAAGGTCACTCATTACCAATTCCTTTTCACCTTGCACACTTTAGAAAGAGCATAGACACGGTCAACTTGGGCTGTGGAATACGAGATCTGCAGAAGGTTCATGATTATGCACAAGGAGAGGTGACTGCACCTCATGCAGAGAGCTTTTTCATTGGTTTGTTAACAGACATGAGAACATTATTGAAAATGAAGCTGAAAAGCCAGAAACACTTTGCAGTGAGTGACCCATCCTCTCCCACTTTGGTATTTCAACTCATCGCATCGTTTTCTCACATCCCTCACAGAGGTGGAGGAGGATTTCATTGGTTAATTCTTATAAAGCGTTTGAAACTGAAAAATGCAAAGGTTATTTAGGGTTCATTTCTCTGGTATTCATGCTGATGTTGTGGGTAGTTACATACAGAAACAGCTAGTCCTATACCAGCCCAGCAGTGCTCCATCACATCCAGCATCTTTTCTGGTTGTGGCCAGTACCAGGTGCTTCAGAGGGAAATGCAAGAAACGCATTAGTGAACAATGATGGACTAACGTGCCCATAGGGGAAGTTGCTCCTGAATCATAGGTAGTTAGTAGTTAGGGGTTTGCCCTAAAACCCATCACATTTTTATCCTATCAAATCTAAGTGTGAATTCTCATTGTATGTATAAAATGCTATTTTTTTTGAACCGCGTTAAAGCTTTTGGCTTTTATAATATTGTGTAGCAGTGAGTTCCACAAGTTAATTGCATGTTGGAATTTAACATGAACTGATGTGTAACTACTGCCAAAAACTGATGGCCACTACAAGAAACCAAAACTATGAGAAGAGCTGACAGGAAAGACTTAGTAAACCTCTCTAATAAATTTAGAATAGCATTGTCAGAATATTAAGCTGCCTCGGGCCTTAAACAGGTATGGTCAGAAGAAAATCAGCAACTGGTGGGCTTTGAATAGGGGACCATAACATCACCCAGGGATTCAATGTGTTGCCTGGAAACCAATGTCTGCCAGTAAGAGACCAAAGACCAGCAGAGCCAATCTTCTATCTTGACTACTGCAACATCCTCCTCTCTGGCCTCTCCCAATACATACATCCCACTCCCCTCGGATGCATTTGAATACAACTATTAAGATCATCTTCCTAGCCCATTCTGCCAACATCACTCCTTTGTTTAATCTCTTCACTGGGTCATTCATAACTTGTCTACTCTGTCTCTTGTCACATCACCTCATCTACTCTGCCAGCAATGCCAGCTTCACCTGCACGGATGTCAAATTCTTCCAAACAACCACCTTAGCCTTTTCTTCCATGCTGCCCCTTGTACATGGGACTCTGTTCATGAATTAATCCATAAGGCCATTACCCTCTCTTTCCTCAAATCCCTCCTTAAGACCCACCTTTACTGTGACGTACGATAGATCAGCCAATCAGCGATTGTTTGATTGTACATAACTGGGAAGAGCTGCTATGTATTTTTAAAAACTGAAGATGATTTGCCATCATCAGGTCGTGCAATAGCTAATCTGAAACTGGGTGATCTTTGTTACCCTCGTCTTCCCTCACTGGGTCACACTTGCTTATTGCATCTTGTTGCAAATTAGATTTTAAGCCCTTTAGGGGATGGGTTTTCATATTGTGCAGCAATCCACCAATAGCTGTGACTGAACTCAAACTAAGCTGAAGGTTAATCCTTTGAGGAGTTATTAATACTTTGTTTCAATTTATCTTTATGGTAATATTGTACAAACTATCCAAATGGGGTATTTACCCCCATGAGATTTATAGTAATGAGATCTTGAATTACTATAAAAAATCCAATAAATTGTTTTTAAGACGATAAATTATTATTTGCCCCTCAATATCCAGTGATCAAACCCAGTTTCTGTACTATATGACTGGGAAGATCTGGGAACTCTGATTCTCTTTCCTAATCACCAGCAAGGACACCATCATCAATTACAATGAACAAAAAGAATTTTATTGGAATATATACACACCGGGATAACAGAGGTATCTGAATAATCAAATATGGAATGTTTAAGAAAGAGTTAAAATAAATAAGGATACCAAGATTTGCCAGTGCTAGGTCCAGCACCATTGTAAGTAAATGCCCTCCTCTGAACAAGTCTGACTCTGATGGGACCAACCCAACAGAGTCTGTAAATATTCCTACCACTAGAAAGTGGCCAATAATTTTGGAATACAAAGAGTCACTATAGTGCTTTCTACTGATGTGCATTCAAACTGTTTATTCGCTGTTTTCGTCTCTTATTTCTTTAATAATACCTATTAAGTTCTGGAGTCCAAAAACATAACCTGTGTCTTGGCCCTCATGCACCACACTATCTTCCCCATAGTACTTGCAGGTTGTGTGGGCAAAGTCTATCATACGGACATCAACAGTACTAGCAGTGGGCTTGTATGCATATGCTCCAGCTGATTCATCCGAAGACTCCTCTGAGAGATCCTCCAAGTCCTCTGGGTCTGAGTCCACAGTCACTTCCTGCAACTCCTTGCCATCATAAATGATAAGCAAGGAGCTGGAATAGAAACGGTAAGACTCCTGTTTTTCTAAGACAGATTCGAGTTCAGTCAATTTCTTTATAACTGGTTCAAAGAGTTCCCTGCGCAGGTATTTGCCATTATGAAAGAATTGGTAAAGTGCTTCTTTAAATCCTTGGACTGAAAGCTTTCGCCCATGGTATTTATTCATGAACATTAACTGGCCAGTGCCCGTCTGGTAGACCTGTATAGGAGAGAAGAACAAAAGGAATGGTTGGATTGCCAGCAATGGTAACTCTGAATCATACTCCAGAAAAATTAACAATGTCCCAGTAGAGAGAAAAGGTTTGTCTCTTAAAATAGCTCTTATGCAGTTGGAGGGGAAAGCATCCTAGCAATCACAGCCCACCAATATCTGAGGTATTGCTAGTCACAAAGGAAACTGAAAATTCCTCAGGCTTAGACTTGAGCTTTTCCATTTTGAAAAACGGGATGAAGAATTTAAGTAAGATTAGGAAGGCTGAGGCCAAGATTTCTGAAGTCAAGTTACAACATGTAGGGCAGCCACTCCATATCACTCACTCCATTAGCAACTACTGCATGCCTCTGCTGGCAGCCTTACCAAACCTATTCCCAGAACTGCTGGAAGTCTGAATGACAGCAATTGCCCATATGAAACATTGAAGCAAGCCCCCATACAGAAGAAGAAATTCTCCAGTTCTGAATTGTTTGGTCAAGTGCCCAACCATGTTCTTCAGAATACATTGGGACAACTAAATGTGCAGGAAGAGCAGCCAGTTGTGTTTGCATTGAGCTGCCTAAATGGAGTAGAAAGAAACCACAGCAGTTTGCAAATGAGATCGTGGCAACTGTTAATTCAAAGCACCTTCCTCTCTATCCAGGTTTTAACTTTAAGCATCTAAATCCTTGCAAAATTGGAGCCAAAGTGATTTATTAGTCTAGTATGGTTCAGCAATGTGGGTTCTGCCCACATGCTCAGGGTCTAACTGATTGCCATATTTGGTGTAGGGAAGGAATTTTGCCAGAGACCAAGAGATTTTTGCCTTCCTCTGCAGCATAGGGCACGGGTCACTTGTAAGTTGCAACTAGTGTAAATGGTGAATTCTCTATAACTTGAAGTCTTTAAACCATGATTTGAGGACTTCAGTAACTCAGCCAGCAGTTAGGGTTCTCTTACAGGAGTGGATGGGTGAGATTCTGTGGCCTGCAATGTGCAGGAGGTCAGACTAGATTATCATGATGGCCCCTTCTGGCCTTAAAGTCTATGAATCTTTAAGAAAAGGGTAATTTTAGCAATCCGTAATCATTGCTTTTTCCTACAAACTGAGAATGTCATTTACCTCAAACCCACAGATCAGGTGGAGTCTATATTTAAATGGAACCACCACCCTCTACAGCTCTGTATGTTTCTCCAGCAGAGGCCTCTATGTCTGAAGGGCACACACACTAAATGGGCTGGAACAGGAAACCAGAACCATTCTCTCAGTTGAGCACCAATATGGTGGTGAACAAATGTGGTACCCCTCCCCAGCCATCTCTGCTGACCGGTTCTCTGTTCTCAATACATGAGTTTAGGGCGGCAGTGAGCTGAGTGCCAGCCACAGGAATACTCACTTTCCCGAACAGAGCAGGGAGTGCTGAGTGAACACATCAGGCATCGGGGGAGTCTACTGGATGGAAAAGGAAGTACCCCACAGAACGTTTGTGAACCGAAGTGGGTAGAGAAGTCATTTTCTCCACCTACTAAGGCCACTGGGAAGAAAAATCATGCCCTCTCCCTACCAACATCTACGGATGAAAGAGAAGAGGCTTAACTTTCCCACACAGAAGCTGGAAGGAGAAGAACAGACAGTCCTCACTCCAATTCATAGCAGCAGAGGGGCAGAGTGGTGGCTCTTCAACACCACTGGAGCTGCAGTGAAGCAGTTAAGGCATTTCATAGGACTCAATCAAGTCACTCAGTCGCCAGAGATATACAAGCTGCAGGAATTACTTTAAATGAAAGCTTAAACTGTTCCCTCATTGTATCTGCACTGTAATCTTATCACGCATATTTAATGATCAACTTCTTGTTTGCACATTACACAAAGTTTACTTTCGGCAGTGAAAAGAATCCAGATGTTCCAAGTCCCCAGGATAGTACTAACTGTAAGAGTTGTTGCTGCTGTTCTGATAGCCAAATGGTAAGATCCATGCACAGTGAGAGAAGACAGACAGATTTGTTTTCTGATCTACAGCTCACAGGACACACTCACTGTGATGCAGAGGGAGAGCTGCAGGTTGCTATGCAGTCACTCCTCTGATTGATTAGTGATATCGGTTTACTCTGAAGAAAGCCATCAAATTTCCTTCAGTTAGAAAGGTGAATGAAAGGTAGGACCTCTCATAAGAACATAACATACTCTCAAAGGTAGGGGTATGAAGTGGGATGATTGGATAATAAGGAGATGTCTAAAACTACAAATACAAAGAATATAATGGATTAAGAAAGCAACAAAATTCATTTTCCTATTGTCACCTTAATAAGATAATGCAGTTTGTTTGTGATTGGCTGGAAATTTACTGAGCTCACTTTCCTGCTATTACCAGTCAATCATACTTGTAACTCTGGGAGACAGATATTTTCCTCAATTCTGAGCAGCTGAAGGCTTGTTTCAGAAGAAAGTTATAGTCTTTGCTAATAGTACCCAACCACAAAGGTACAAGTAGAAAGTGTTTAAAAAATGTCTCTTCAAATATAGCCTGTTTTATTCCCAACCCTACCCGCAATCCATTTCAGACTCACCTGCATGCCACACACTCGGACCCCAATAACCGCTGAAGTACTTTGCTGACACTTCCGGATCTGGTTAGCTTTCTTCTCTTCTGATGCATCATCTCCATGCTGCCGGGTTCCCATTTTAAGGTCCAACACACATGGCACTTCGTATCGAGAGGTTAGATTTTCCAGCAAGATAAATTCTGACTGGTTAAGGAAAAAGCCTTACAATAAGAAACAGGTTTTAAAATGCATTCTGACAGCCCCATTCCAAGTGAAGGTAGTGGTGAAGTTAAAGTTAAACTGAGAAAAAGGCTAAAAAACAGGGGCATCCAAACTTTGCCCAATCATGACTCCACTAGCAACTTAGTAAGAACCAAACGGATACACCTACTTTGCATTAAACAAAGTAGATGGCACATAACCTAATCTTTCATTTGGATGTGACGTCCAAAGAGGCTATAGGTTCCAGCTTGCACTGCTCTCTCACTCTACAAGCACCTCCAAATTTGAGATGAAAATCACTAGGGGCTGCATTATTTACTAGGCTGGCCACCATCTGGCAATCCACAATCTAATTTTAAGTTCTCCACGGAGTGAGTAAACCTAGCAGACACTATGTCCATAAAGGGAGGAAAAACGTTTCAGTGATGAAGGCACTGGACTGGGATTCACGAGATCTGGATTCAATTTCCTGCTCTGCCACAGACACTTCCCGCAGGACCTTGGGAAAGTCACTAAAATTCTCTTTGTGCCTTGGTTCCTCATCTCTAAAAGGAGGGAATAACACTTCCTTCTGTCACAAAAGTGTTATGAGGATAAGTTCATAAATATTTGGGAAGACCTGAGATACTATGGTAATGGGGGCCCATTAAATTATCTAGCTAGGAACTTATCACTAGGTTTGTGAGGCTAGCCCCTGGGAGAATTCTATTTGCATTAATCATTCTCCATGGTTTTAACGGGTTAATTATGTTTATGCATACACATTTTTAGTGATCCAATCACCAAAACTCCTCACATACAAGATTTCCTTCCCTAAGCATGTAGGTCTTAAGATCTTTACAGCATCTGTGCCAGTTGCAAGCAGAATGTATTCAAGGCTCTTTGTGCCTTATTATGGAAGAGAACCAACATCACTAACGCTGTGGTGGGCAACCTGCGACCCATCAGGGTAATCCACCGGCGGGCCATGAGACAGTTTGTTTACATTGACCGTCCGCAAGCACGGCCGCCCGCAGCTCCCAGTGACCGAGGTTCGCCGTTCCTGGCCAACGGGAGCTGTGGGAAGTGGTGCGGGCTGTAGGGACATGCTGGCCATCGCTTCCCGCAGCTCCCATTGGCCAGGAACAGCGAACCACGGTCACTGGGAGCTGCGGGCGGCCGTGCTTGCAGATGGTCAATATAAAACTGTCTCGCGGCCTGACAGCGGGTTATCCTGACGGGCTGCATGAAGCCTGTGGGCCACAGGTTGCCCACCACTTCTCTAATGGTTCACAGGCATATAGACTCCTTTTGTCTTTACTGGAGTTAAGAGTGCGTGCTCTGACGGCTGCACTGGCACTAATGGAACAAGGAAATCTCATTTTCCATCACATGAACAATCCTACACTCTCAGAGCCGGTAAGTATAATCTGCTTCTGCTTTTAGGAGCTTGCATTTACTAAGGATTTTCATCTTTTCTCAGTTATAAACCCAGATTGAATTTTAGGTTCAGTTTGCTTTCACCAAAAAATTAGCTGAAATTAGCAAGCTGCTGGCAGCAGAGGACTAGCCTGTACAAAAAAAGTTTCCAAAAGTGCTATTTTCTCACTCAAGGAATCAAAATGTTCCACCTTTGACTAATTAAAAGCCAACAATCCCCACGTATTTTAAAAAAAAAGTATCTGAGAAGATACATTTTTGGAATTGTGAGGGTGGAGGAGTGAAGGTTAAATCCTTTGACATCATCCTAATATATGCAACAAATATAACTGCTCATGCCAAGGAAAGCAGCAGCAGAACTCCACTCCTCTAAACTCATGTATTAGTAAACTTGTCGAGTCAGTGATCACTTCACCTAGGATGCTGGAAACTTTTCCACTAACAGAGATTCATACTAAAGTAGATTCCTTGAGTTGCCCTGCACAGATGTGTTTAAGTGTTGGGAAAGCCCAAATTTTGGCAAAGAGTAACGATCCCTTCACAGTCACCTTCTATCTAACAAACCACTGTTTCAGATAATCCTATTCTGTGTTATAGCTACACAGTCTGGGTTGGGCTTTTTTTTTTGGGGGGGGGGGGGATTTGCTAAGAAAAAAAAGCAGAATCCCTCCTTGTTCTGCTGTTGAGAGAGAGACTTCTGGGAAAGGATACTATATTGGTTCCGATGTTTTGCATTTTCCTTCATCCGCCGTAATTGCTGCTGGTGACATTTCATACTCCAAGGGTTATGATGCTTAAACTGTGAACTGACATTCCCCTTTTTCTCTACACTGTAATACAAGACTTCAGATTTCTTCAGCCACTCAAATTCTTCCTCTAATTTGTGACTAGAAAACAAAAAAATAAAGAAGTCAGAAGCCAAATGGAGAAAGTAAGTACCCTACTTTTAAAAGGAAAAGATATAATTTGTTCAAGCTTTACATATTATACACTGCTGACCCTCAACCACTCAATGCTTTCAATTAGCCTATTCATATGTACCTCAAAATACTTCTACCAACAGCTGGCAAAATCCATTATTTCATTATACATGGGTCTGATCACGTTTCTCATGGTTGATATTTCAGTCTTTGTAAATCTGCTTCCACAATATGACCATATGCTAATTTATATTTGCAGATTTCAACAGACCCTATGAAACAAACAGTAATGAGAGCTACAGAATCCCTCACCCGCTTGCTAGAAGTTTTCCAGATTTCCATTTTGTTACAGCTCTCTGGTAACTGCCACTACAATATATTGCAGATCAGGGGGTTTGAATTGGGAACAGGTTTGCAGGAATCCTGCTTTACCTCTAACTGCATTTTTCCTTATTCACCCATGCAAAAAAAGATTCCAGTAGACTCATTCAGCATAGCTGAAATTTTCCCTTGCAGAGTTATGCTTTTGCAGACACTACAGTTAAAAACTAACCAGAATCCTAGAACCTTCCTCAACTGACCACTGCAAAGATTTAATTGTGACGGGGCTCAAATGAAATTTGCCTGAATGGAAACCACTTCTGCTACCGAAAGTGTTTCACAGTGGAGAGAAGAGACAAACAGAAATGAGTGGAAGGAAGAGACATATGGCAGAAGAAACAAAAAGACTGGATAAAACCTCCATTCTAGCATTGAAAAGTAGCCCCAATGTGTTTAATTTTACTCATATCTGCATCAGACCAGATAAGAATAAAATTAAACACATGGAGGTTATGTTTCAAAGCTTTACACTCACTTCCTTTTGACCTACCTTTTCATTTTTTCCTCTTTCCTGTGCTGCCGGACCCATTCCTTAGTTATCTTGTCATTTTCTAATAATACAGTCTTTTTGTTAGACCACCGTAACAACTTATTTTTGGGTTCGCAGTCAGAATTATCTATGCTTTCCAAGTTATCATGGTCCCCATTTAATGGATAGGCTATTAGACACAGATTTCCATCTTCATCCTCTTCAAAGCTCACCGACACCACACCTGGGGAAAGAAAGGAGATGACCAGTTAGTAATCAATTAAATGACATGCAAACACTTTATGCAACATGATTTTACATGAAAAATATAGCAACTTTTGGTTTTTCTCTTACCCAGGTCCTTAGTTTTTATCTTGCCACAGGCCAAAACTCATCTGTCAACCTAACAAATATCAAAACACCTAGACAAAATGACACCTCACAGAGAAGACAATTTATCATGTAGACAAAACAATAGTGACAGAAGAGATTTTTCTCTCTGATGCACAGAGTCAAATAGAAATCAAATAATAACAGGAGACGATTTCAATTATTGACAAATTTTATTAATTTAAAAAAAGTCTGACTGGTCTGACCCTAGGAGAGATGTAAAACATCTTATATTTACATCTTGCAGTGAAAAATAACCTGCATAGAAACACCAAAAGCTTTAAGTTTTGCATGACAGCAAAGCAAAAAGCATTTATCCAGATTTTTTTGCGGGTTAATAGATTCCAAGGGCAAGGAAAGGCTTCAAGCAGAGCAAAACAAGAAAAACGTCACACATTACAACAGATACTAGTTCAAAGGCTTCCACTTAGAATCACCACGTTTAATTTTACACTTTTTCCCCCCTTTTTGGGGTATATATTTTATTGATGTTGGTTGTGCAGCGGTCTTGTGAAATAAAGAACAAAAAGCAATACAAAGCAAATCTGATCGTAGTACACAGAAACATGGTGAACCTTGAAAGCATTTTTTCCTCCTCATCTCAAGAGTCTCTAGAATACTGCATTGTATATTAAGAGTCTTAGAGGAAAGTTCTGACAGGGTTGCCCCCAGTGCCATATTAGAAAGTTTCAATGATTATCGAAGAAGCCGTAACAATTGGCTGAATGTTTTTTATTTTTTTTCTCAGTCCTTTCTCTTTATCCTCAAATCAATCAATCTGCACAGTTCTTGCAGCACATCACTCGGCCGGAGGGGAGAGTTCGCGGCGAGAGATTGGCACTTCTGAGCTGGGCAGGCGGTTCTGGGACCTACAGTAGCTGGGGTAGGGAGTGCAGAAGCTCTGACTGACAGTCCTGCTGCCACATAGGAAAGGACTACAGGAAAAAATGGGGGAGCCAGCTAGCAAATGGCCTTTGGCTTTATCCTGGAAAAAACAACAGAGATGGACCAAATGAGGCCCCTTTACCCCTAAATCCCTCCCACACTCCCCAAAAAGAAAAACCACATATACTAGTACAATTGTTCTACAACATTTTGTAAAGTATCATTTATAGACCATATTTTCTTCAACAATTCCAAAAGAGTTTTTAATAAGATGTGTTCAAACCTCTCAGCAAGTATGTGAACATTCAGGCAATATAACTTTGAAACATCTCTGAAGTCCTCCTCCAATTTTACAATCAATATCAAAAGAAACTTGGCCACCCTTACTCAGTGTTCAAGTCTAAAATGCTTTAAAAAGCAATTCAAAAATGAATAAATGCTTCAAACTTATTTTATCAATTAATCACCAGACAGCAGTTAATGGAATACCCCATAAAGAGAGAAGCATTTCATTTAACTAGTGCAATGCTTAAAAGAACTGGAATTTCCACTCCTACATACCATCTGACTCAGCCTCATCACGGCTACTTGATCCTTGCCTACCTAAATGCCACGAATTTTCATTTCCTTAAGGGCAAAAACAAACTGCAAATGTTTAACAAGATACTTTTCAACTTTCTTTGCTATACTGACGTTATATATGGTGATTAATATGAGAGTTAGAGGACAACCCAAAACACAAAACATTACAGCTAAACTTCCACAAAACATGTATTCAGGCAATCTTACCCAGCCCCTGAAGACACACATTAAACAAGAGGCAACAAAATAAAATAAAATAAAAAATTAAAATCAGAAATAAAAATGAACGTATTACTGAGAACATTTACAAGCTGTTAGCTACTTACCTGTCTGTGCCTAAGGGAGATATATGGGCTGTCACCAGCAGAGTTGCTCTACTCTAATGCTGTTAGTCAGCCCAAAGACCCACTGGCAAGCATCTCCACAGCCTGGCTCAGACAACATCAAAATACATGAAAAGAAAACCCCTAAAATCTCTTCGGCGCAGAAGAGATTTTAGAGGAAACAGAGCACACTGGGATTTAGAAAAGAGAAAAAAGCCCAACCCCTTTCTAAGGTTTCGTAACATACCTTCATACTGTGGAGTGAATTTACGCATTTCTGTTGGGAGAGTCTCATAGAATTGGTGTTCCCTCTGGATGAGGGGTTTACAGATGGTCTTGTCATTAAACCGGAGGACACAGGAGTGACCCCCAACCTGGTGGACAAAAGGCTCGAGCAGGACTCCCTTGGCATAGTGCTCCACTTCCATAGCTCCAAATGCTGGGCTCATCCTTGTAGCACATTAGATAAAACAATGTGGCAATGGTGAAGGCAGTTCAGAAGTAGATCTGTCTCCCAAAAGGCGTTTATTCCAGTTCAAAAAGTCTGTTAAAACAAGTAGAATAGAAACCTTTGTGTTAGTAACTTTGTATGTTGAGGTCTGAGCAACCGAAGCCAACAGTTACTTTCATAAGGCACAGCAAAGGAAACTGAATGTAAACAATCCTCTATGCAAGGTGAAACTGAAAAGAACCCACAGCTTTAAGTGCAGAGGCAAATAAGAGTGAGATCATACAGGCAGAGAAAAACAAAGCCACTTACCACTCCCACCAAAGCCTCAGCCAATGGGAATTATATTTAGCTGCTACGCAGACCCATAATGAAGGAGGGGAACGAGATGAGGCAATACAAAAGAAGGGAAGGGTAACAAACATGCTGCCTCTCTCAGCTGCTCTCCTTACTAGCCCTCAGCATTTTCTTATCAACAGAAAGGCCCATGGGACAATCTGAAGATTAAACTTCATGTTTTAGCACTTTATTCTACATACTCATATTAGATACTAAGAGTTTAGATCCAAGTTAGGCTTTACGTATAAGCTATTATGTACACTTACAGAACTACACAATTCAATCATTGTCAATCCATGCATAAGTTTCCATTTAATGTATGATATTTTACTAACTTTCAACACAAACACTAGCTATAAAGAATGAAAGACTAGTTAAAAACTCCCACTAAATTGACAAATCATCTTTTCCAGAGCTGAAAAAAAAAACATAAAAATCCAACCTGAGCAACTTTCTACAATGTATTATTTCAAAGTAATTTAGAACAGAAACATGCTATGCACTGTTCATGTTATCTGTAAAAAATATTGATCACAGTAATTAAACTTTTAATCAGTTTAACTTTTTGTATCATTCAGTAATTTTCAAATGTACTATATACTGCATAGCTAAAGGCAGAGAATCTTTAGTAGAAAGCCGCCAGATAACAAATAGCACCCAGAAGACTGCAGATCAACCACCATTCAACAATTTCCGTTACCTGTTATTTTACTGTTTCATTTTACAAATAACAGTACAGAATGAAAAAAATCACAGACTAGCAAATTTAGGTTGAGTAATAGTAATTTGAGACTCCGCTTTAATGATTAACTTTAGTATCTAAAAAATGAACTGACAGCTTTATTCCATCTTAAAGAACGTTACATGAACAATTTCAAAGAAACTAAAAGTATTCAAGGTCACTGGGCTATTTTTGTTTGTCCTTCTCAGATATTTAGCAGCTTTAGCTTACCTTTAAAACTAAACAACTAGAAGCTTATGGCAGTGACGATAGGTCTGACAGGCAACCAGGTTAATACAACTAAAAATATCTACAGTGCTTTTTCATACATAAGAACATTAAGCTGTTTATCTGCCTAATTTAATTTACCAGAAACAACAGGTCAACCAATTAAATCCTGACTGCTGGAAAATATACCTTCAACTAAGACGCCTGTCAGTGGAATTATTCCCAGGCATACTCAAATTAACAATGTATAAAAATTACAAATTTCCCAAGTATGGAGAACACACTACGCAATAAAACTTACTAGATTTTTATACCAAGATTGAATTAGAGAAACAAAAGCAAATTTATCTATCAATTTAATCAATTCTCTAGCAAAGGTATTTAACACCTAACTTACAACAATGCGCACTCAACAAATTGTGCAATATTGTATTTGATATTCTAGTTACATTTTATATTGGGGGAGGCCTGTCCCCTTGCCAATCTAAATGGATTTCCCAATATTTTTCAGAATACAATCACAATCTACTTGGCAAGAGAAAAACGTTATATCTACATTAACAGAAATGCTAAGAATTCATTTACTTTTTAGCTGGACCTATACAAATACAAACTGAAGACTTACAATATTTATTTGGAACTAGCTTGTTTAAAATACAAGCATGGTATAATAGGATTTTTTTAGTCTGGAACTTGCTGGTACTGAAATTTGTCATCATCCTACCTCATGAATACTAACTGGCCCAGCCAGTGTAAGCAACACTGTCTTTCCAGAAGATGGCACTCTTAGTATTTTTCAGTTGCAGAAAATTATGGAATATATCCTCTGAACTTATTCTACTGCATTTCTACCCACCTTATGAAAATATACTATTATGCTGCCTTCTACCCAGATTGCTACACTCAAGCACCACTATACTTGTCAGTTTCTGAGATACAAGTCAACATACAAGTCTATTTAAAAACAGATATTCCAATGTGCTAAGAGAGGGATACATTTCAATGGACAACTATTTTTGTTTTGAGGGTTGCTTGCACACATCAAACTGTTTCATATACATTTTTTCAATCAAATTTTAAAATCCCCAAAGACTTAATCAGGCTTCCTGGGGCAAACAACTCCAGCCCTCCTGAATTTTGTTCAATCCTAGATAACAAAGCCTCGTCTACAAACAAACAAAAAAAACTGTTCTGCTTTAATTATAAGGTACATTTAAAAGCAGTATGTCACCACCTCATGCAGATGTCATTATACCAGTAACAGCTTATTTCAGTATGTAAAGGGGAATAAGCTACACCAGTATAAGCACTTTTATACCAGCATAACTGAGTCCACACTAGAGGTTGTACTAGGATAATTTATTTTGTTGTTAAAATAGTTATTTAAAAAAAAAATCACACTCCTTAACTTAGGTATACCGATACAAAATCGGTGTGGAGACCAGGCCTAAACTTGTGTCAGAACAGCAGAATTTATATTGAAAAGTATGCTTATTAGCACTACAGAAAGGAAATAAATATCTGCCAAAAGGAGAATATTCACCTTAGAAAAAACACACCATGCCCCTCCCTCATATCCCCAGTGAGCTCATTAGTTCTTCAGTGTAACTTCAGAACTTGTTTTCTTTCATATAGACCCAAATGGTCCATAAGGTATTTGCACCGTGTATTTAGAAAACAAAAGTCACTTGGGTATGACATTACCCGGTATGTAGCTCAACAGGAAAAAAATCCTACTACTTTTATCATTAAATCTGTATTTGATAAAGGCACCATATATATTATGCCATATCTAATGCAAGCGTTAAATCAGAATTAAGCCATATATATGTTCTCAAAATTTCACATAAAACACAGCAATTATCAAATTCATTATTTCATATTTAGGCAAAGTTTTCAGTGTGTGGATTTGGGGTCATCAGTACGTAGATCCTGCAAAAAGGTCCTATTTTGAGTAAGCGCGAGAGGTAAATACAAATCCTTCAGAGTAATATGAAAAAAACAACACGGAAGGGGACTTTCACTGTGGTTGTGTTATGCAAACTCTCCTTATATTTTCATATTACCACATTTAATTAAATAGTGTGTATATTCTGCATCTGTGTTCTCAAAGTATTGATGTAGGAATGTGCTTTAGGAACGTGCCAGATAGTGTAAAATGAAATCTTACACACACAATCAAACAAAGCTAATGCTGTTAAAATCTTGAGGCTGGGATACAC